ATTCCAGGCATTGGCGGAATAACAATGTCCTGAGCGGGAGACAGAGCACGAGAAGCAGGCTCCGCGTCTTCAAATGCAGCCGTCTTGCCCTTCTTACCCTTCTTCTTTTTCTTGGATGAAGAGGCAGCCCACTCGTCTTCAACCATGGGCTCTGGCTCGCCCGATGGCTCGGCAGGAATGACTTCAACAGGTGCCGGGCTGTCGTAATTGGGCTCGATGGGCTCAACCACATCAGCTTCTCTAGTGGCAGCCGGAGCGATGGGCTCAACCACATCAGCTTCTGTAGTGGCAGTCGGAGTTTCGATTGTAGCCACATCGACTGCAGTGACATCGGCCGGCTCAGAAACATCCGTCTCGGTAGCCTTACCCTTCTTGCCCTTCTTCTTCTTTTTGGATGAAGGCAGAGCCCACTCATCTTCTGCCACAGGCTCAGGTTCACCCGATGGCTCGGCAAGAACTGGTTCAACTGGTACAGGGGCCTTCTCGGTCGCTTCAGTGATGTCGACAACTTCAGGTGCAGTGGATAGTACTTCCTCGAGAGCAGGGGACTCGACTGGGAGGCTGGTTTCTCGACTATCCACATCCAGGACTGCGGCTGCTTTGCCTTTCTTGCCCTTCTTTTTCTTCGTAGGCAAGGCCCACTCGTCATCAATGACAGGCTCGGGCTGTGGTGCAGGTTCTTCAAATGCAGGCTCACTGATCTCTGGCACAACTTCGGGCACAGCTTCAGGCCCTTCGATCACAGAAGAAAGGGCGGCAGAGTCCAATTCACGAGAAGGTGATAATGCTCGTGACACAGGCTCGGACGTATCGGCGGAGGCCTTCCCTTTCTTGCCCTTCTTAGACTTCTTGCTGGGGGCGGTAAATACACCCCAGTCAGCGTCGTCGTCGACAGCCTGTACCGGCTCGAGAGGCTGATCGATCACTTTGTCTTCGACAGCCCCCGGGACGACTGCAGGTAGTTCAAGGTCGATGGGCTTGACATCTTCAGCAACAATGGAAGGCTCAGCCTCAGCAGCAGCGGGCGTCTCCGCGATATCGGCCTGCTGCTCCTCGACGATAGGTGTCTCAGCATAGGTCGTTGGTGCTTCTTCGATAGCCATAGGGCTTTCGGCGGGGGTGGCCGGCTCGGAATCCATCAGAAGAGACTGCCTCTTGGCCTTCTTCTTATCCTTCTTTGACTTCTTGCTGGAGAACGAGTCGGCGAAGGGTTCTTCGACAACTTCGGGTACGACGGCTGGGTCCTCGCTGATTGCCGTATCAAAGACGGGCTCTTCTTGGGGCGTGGGCACGGCGTCTTCTTGGACGGGCTGTGGCTCATCGTCAAACTGAGCGAGGCTATCACGCTTCTTTTTCTTGTCCTTTTTGGACTTTTTGACAGAGGAGACATTTGCGGGGTCTTCTGCAGGCTCTTCGATAGACTGCGGGGTTTCTTGTGAAGACACAACCTCCTCGATGGTCTTGTCGACGACTTCTTCGACACGAGGTTCGCTGGAAGCAGGGAGAGCCTCCTGGACCTCCTTGGTTTGAGCACCAGGCAGATCGCTGGATGCCGTAACGTGTTCCGCCTCAATGGAGAGGTCGCGAGGAGCGTCAACAACGACTGGCTCTTCTTGATGAGCAGGGCTCTCAGTCGAAGCGGGTGTGCTAGGTTCGGGATCGTCCCAGGCTGCGCTTTGACGCTTCTTCTTCTTGTCCTTCTTGCTTTTCTTGTTGCTGCTCTCAGCCCATTCATCAACGGGGTTGGCAACCTCCGGCTCAGCAGCTGGGACAGGTTCAGCCTCAACCGGGGCCTCGACGATGACGTCGGGGGTTGCTTCAACAACAGGTTCGAGAAACGGCTCGGGTTCATCGAAAGCAGAACCCTTGGCCTTCTTCTTGCCCTTCTTACTTTTCTTAGTGCTGCTAGCAGCCCAGTCGTCCACGGGCGTCGAAACCTCCGTTTCGGCAGGAATAACAGCAAGAGGCTCGGCAGTGACGTCTTCGGCGACAGTCGGATCAACGGAATCAGGAACGGCTTGAGTGTCAATGGCAGCTTCCGAAGGTGCTTCCAGAGGAGCACTGGTGGCAGGCTCAAACTCGTCAAGAACACTGCCCTTGCCCTTCTTCTTTTTCTTGCTCTTTTTGGTGCTGCCAAAGTCGTTCCATTCGTCGACAGGTGCGGAAGATGCTTGCTCGGTAGAGACTTCGACCTCTTGCGGCAAAGTCGGGGTTTCGATAGGAGTAGGTTCCGAAGGAAGGACAAGCTCATCCTGGGTGACGACAGGCTTGGAAGCGGTTTCGACAGTGGTCTCTGGTTCGTCGAAAGCAACAGACTTGCCCTTCTTCTTCTTCTTCTTGCTGTTCTTGGAGCCGGAATCAGCCCACTCATCATTTGTAGTTGTGGGCACCTCAGCCTCAATGACGGGCTCAACTTCGGCTTCGGGAATGGCTGTCGCTTCGGCCAAGTTGACATCCACTGGAAGACCAGGCTCGGCGGAGCCAATATCGCGAGAGGGCTCAGTGACGTCGGTCGTGGGGGGGAGCTCGGCGTCGTCAAAAGTGACACCTTTGCTCTTCTTGCCCTTCTTGTTCTTCTTGGTGCCAAAGTCAGCCCACTCATCCGCGGCAGCGATCGCATCTTGGTCGAGAGGCGTGCTCGACTCAATGACAGGAATATCCTCAAGTACAGTCGCTGGATCTGAAAGGGTAGAAGATGACTCAATGGCAGTCGAATCGACAGCGTCGTGAGCGGGCTCCGATTGGAGCTCTACCGTTATCTCGGGCTCTACGGAGACAAGGCTTTTGACCTTTTTCTTATTCTTCTTGCTCTTTTTCGAACCAAGATCGGCGAACTCATCAGCAACAGGCTCCTGCTCGGGAAGAGGGGTAGGTTCGGCCGTCACGATCGGGTCGGCAGCGGCATCCATAGTGGCTTCCCGAATTTCATCTTGCGCTCTGGGCAGCTCCTCCGCAATAGCAGGTGCGGGCTCATCCGTGGCCTTAGTCTTTTTCTTGTTCTTCTTGCTTTTCTTGGAAGAAGAGAGATCAGCCCAGTCGTCAACGGCAGCAGACGACTGATCCTCGGCGGGTGAGCCCGATTCCGCTGGCGGTGTATCGAGGTTGCGGGAGCTATCATCCAGAGGAGCAACAAGCTCAGTCTCAATAGCCGTTTGCACCTCAGGAGCAGGCTCGGAGACGGCTTCCGGCACTACGACAGGCGCGGTAACAGGCTCCACGGCGGCTTCGGGCAAAGGCTCGACGACGGGCTCAAGAGGGGACTCAACGGTTAAGCTTTTTCCCTTCTTCTTGTTCTTCTTGCCCTTTTTTGATGTCGTGAGCTCAGCCCATTCATCAGCAGGCTCAGCGATGGGCTCCTCGGAAGGAACAGGCACATCGGCGGTCACAAGATCGACTGGCTCAGCAGGAGAATCGACGGCCGGTTCAGGGGTAGGCTTAGAGAGGGCCTCAGGAACAGGCTCCGGGATGATTTCAGGCTCAAGCTTGGGCTCGGTCTCAACAACACCCTTGGCCTTCTTCTTATTCTTTTTGCCGTTCTTTGACGTGGCGGCTTCGGCCCATTCATCAAAAGCCTCCACCACTGGTTCTTCGGTAGCAGCAGGTGCATCTGTAGCAATGGTGCCTACCGATTCAGACACAGATTCGGTGACAGGCTCAGTTGCGAGCTCGGCGACAGGCTCAGTTGCGAGCTCGGTGACAGACTGAAGAACAGGTTCAGGCTCAGGCTCGACCTCAACGACGCCCTTGCCTTTCTTCTTATTCTTCTTGTTCTTCTTTGTCGTCGCGGGCTCCGCCCACTCGTCAACTGGCTCAATGGCCGGTTGCTCGGAAGCCACAGGCGCAGCGTCTTGAGCAGGCAGGACATCAGAAGTTATAAGGTCGATGGGCGCGGTGACAAGATCGATGGTAGGCTCAACAGCGGGCTCATGGACGGGCTCAGCAATTGTCTCCGAAGTAAGTTCGGGTTCGGGCTCAGTAACAGCCTTGCCCTTCTTCTTGTTCTTCTTGCTCTTCTTCGACGTTGCCGGCTGAGCCCACTCATCGACAGGCTCCACGACAGCTTCGGCAGCAGGATCCACAGGCGTAGCAGGATCTACAAGGGGAACCACAGAATCGGTAAGATCGGCAACTTGAGGGACAGTCTCAACGAGTGGCTCAGAAGCTGGCGCGACAACAGGCTCGGAAGCGGGCTCGGCAATGACCTCAAGCTCAGGCTCAGGCTCAATGACACCCTTGCCCTTCTTGTTCTTTTTCTTGCCCTTCTTGGAGGTCGAAAGGTCGGCCCATTCGTCCGCAGCCCCGGGAGCAGCAGCAGTTTCGACAACGGCATTCTCAACAGGAGCAACGCTCGTCTCGGCGGCAACATCAGGTACAGGCAACACCTCCTCAACAGGCGGGCTCGCGCCTGCCGTATCGAGAGGTGATTCCTGGCTACTATCCCGTACCTGAGGACTTTGCTGCAACTCCTGGTCTTCCACTCGATCGGCGCTGAGGGGGGGTTCTGGCTCGATCTGGCTCGCTCGCTTCTTCTTCTTGTCCTTCTTCGACTTCTTCGTCGGCGCTGCGCCCCACTCATCATCTGCGGCGGGCTCTTCGGGGGCGGGGGCGGAATTGTCGGGGGTGAGGGTATGTTCTTCTTGAATCTCGACGGGGGTGGGTTCGGGCGGAATGTCGTCGGTGGTAGCCAAGTCGAGAGCCTTGGTATCCTGGCTGACTTCTTCAACAGGCGTCGCAGCACCAGATTCCAGAGCTGAATCGTCCTGAAGCTTATTCTTCTTTGACTTCTTTGACTTCTCGGACACGGAAATTTGCTCTTCCCGTTCATCAACTACAGGCGTCTCAGCAACCAGCGTCTCTGTAGCCGGTGTCTCGATGGCAGCAGGCTCCGAAGTGACAAGATCATCCGTTACGGTAGGAAGATCAACGGCAGGCTCGGCAACGGTTTCTGTTGGTGCGGCGAGAGAATCTGGAGATGGGGTTTCGAGGTCATCCGAAAGAAGGCCCTTCTTTTTCTTCTTGTCTTTCTTGGACTTCTTCTTCGTAGACGTTGCCTCCGCCCACTCATCAGTAGGCGCCGCGTCGGCTAACACAACCGGCGCTGCCTCAGCAGGAGCCGGGTCCTCAGTCACAGGTGGAAGCTCCAGAGATGGTGAGAGATCTTCGACAGGTGTCGCGACCTCAGATGCAGGCTCCGAGCTAGCGTTGCCTTTGCCCTTCTTCTTCTTGTCCTTCTTAGATTTCTTGCCAACAACAGGAGCAGGCTCCTCCTCCGGCTCAACCGCAGAAGGTTCTGGCTGGGCTTCAGGCTCTTGTGGAGGCTCAGCAGGGATGTCGTCCGCCCAACTCAGTGTGGCGGGCTGAGTGGGCTCGGGTTCGGCCTGGACCTCCGGTTCGAGGTCAGCCTCTGGCTCGGATTTGCCTTTCTTCTTCTTGTCCTTCTTAGACTTTTTGCTGACCACAGGGAACTCGTCGTCAGCAACAGCGGTCTGGTCCAAGGATTCGGGGAGGGTATCTGTCGGCTGCGCTTCATCGAAAACTGGGGTCGAAACCTCTTCGACCGCTGGTGGCACATCTGTCGTTGCTTGGGAGTTGTCGGGTACCTCGGCGGGCGCTTGGCGGGAGCTTTCATCGTCGTTGGAAGGCGGGGAGGCTTCAACACTAGAGGCGGCCGCAACCACTAGAGCAGCAGCAGCCAGAAGGCCCTTCTTCTTCTTCTTGTCCTTCTTGCTGGTGCTCGCGAAAAAAGAGTCATCCTCCGGGGGCAGGTGAGTTGGCACAGCTTCATCCATGACAGTCGGCTCCTCCGACACAGGTGGTGGCTCTGGTACAGATTCTTCAACGAGATCCTTCTTCTTTTTCTTGTCCTTCTTGGATTTCTTCGTGGTCGTTGGGAACTCCTCTTCTGGGATTGGCGCGGTGACCTCCTCGATGGGTTCGTTCGGAGATGTCGTCAAAGGGGCGCTCGTGTCCAGGTCCCGTGAGAGGGTATCTAGAGGAGTCATTGATTCACCCAAGGGGATCTCGTCAGAAGCTGGAACAGGGGTAGGAGCATCATCAAGCATCGGGGGTTCGGCGTCAGCAACCTTGACATCCTCCTGTAGAGCGCTGTCGAGATCATCGAGAGCTGCGGCTTGCTTCTTTTTGCCCTTCTTGCTCTTTTTTGTAGGAGCTTCGAAGCCCCAGCCATCATCAATCTGTGCCGGCTCCTGCGCAGTTTCAGTGGGAGTGGCAGTGGGCGACTCAGGTTGTGACTCGGGAACTGTGGGTGTTTCGTCCCACGTGGCCGCGAGAAGACTCTGCTTCTTCTTGTTTTTCTTCGACTTCTTAGATCCTGAAAGTTTCGAAGGGCAGAGTCATCAACAGGCGGCGCGGACTTCGGCCATCCTGGTAAATCGCCGCTCGGCCCTCGATGGGAATTTCCAATCTGGGCCAGGCTCTGTCTCAACGGGAAGGATCGGCTGGGAGCGGCCTCGAGCCCCTTCGGCGGCAGCCTCGGACATCGGATCCGTCAGGGCTGAAAGGGCAGACTGCTTCTTCTCTTCTGTCCTTCTTACTCTTCTTACCGGCAGGCTGTGAGGCCCACTCATCCTCGGCAGCCTCTACTAGCTCAGAAGAGGCTGGCGCAGTCAATACGGGGATATCTTCGGTCGCAGGCGACGGGCCCTCTACAGTAGGCTCGTCGACAGTCTTTTCAGGCGCGGCCGAATCGCTGGCGAGGATGTCGTTAACCACTTCGCTAGCAGCAGGCTCAGCGGTAGGTTCGTCAGAAGCAGATGCGGATTCCCTCTTCTTCTTGTTTTTCTTGCCCTTCTTCCCGGCAGGCTGCGACGCCCATTCGTCATCAGCAGCATCTGGCACAGGTGCACGCTCGACCAGGTCTGGAGAAGTCTCCAATTGAGGAGCAAGAGTTTGCATATCATCGACTGAGCGCTCAGCTTCGGGTTGGGGAGCGAGCTCAGGTGCAACTGCAGCCTCGGATTCAGGCTCCTCCACGGCGAGTGTCTTCTTCTTCTTGGACTTCTTCGCCTTCTTCCCAGACGTCGATGCCGCCCACTCGTCCTCGGCAGCCTCAGCCGCGAGGGCAGGTTCAACATTCTCGAGAGGCTCGGCGAGTTCTGGCGCTGTGGGGGGTTGAGGCTCGACCTGTGGTGAAGGTTGGTCGAGCGCAAGCGATTCTTCAGTCGTTTGTGTTGGTGTCTCCGGCTCCAGCACCGGCTCGTCCGAGGTTATGGCGGATCCCTTCTTCTTCTTGTTCTTTTTGCTCTTCTTCCCGGACGCTGGCAGAGCCCACTCATCATCATCAGCTGCTGGTGTGGGAGCAGTGACAGGGTCATCGAGTGCCGGGCCCTCAGGCTCTGCGGGTTGTGGTAATGAGACAGGCTCGTCTTGTGAAGGTGTTGACACTGAAAAATCGTCGATGCTCTTGACTTCTTCTGGTTGTTGCTGGGCAGATTCGGACTCATCACCCCAGGCGGAAGAAGCAGCAGCCGCCTTCTTCTTGCCCTTCTTGCCCTTCTTCTTGGAGGACGGCGTCTCAGCCCACTCGTCGTCGGGCTTCACAATCGTCGGCACGGCCATGTCATCACCTTCTGGAAGGGTAGCTGAATTTTCTGTCACGAAAGTGACCTCTGCCTCGGGAGCAACATGGGAGCTCACGACCTGGGGTTCGTCGGGAGTAGTATTGTCGAGCGCCAAGACCGGCCCCGGGAGCTCCTGTGGGGCACCAACCTCCAGGGTCGAGTCGGTGAGGGCTGGATCCACCGTTTGGGCATCCGTGCCTCGCGTGTCCCCTGTTGATTTGTCGTCATTGGAGGTTGGGCCACTTGCCTCCCCGGACAGCGGCGCGTCATCTGCATGAAGAAGACAATTGTCGTCTGCGAAGGGGCGGGACGGGGCCAGATCTCCCGCCAGGCCCGCCGCCCTGTCAGTGGCTGCGGCCTGGTCCGTGGAGCTGAGCTCTTTACCCGCTGCGCCAGCTTCACCGCCTGAGGTGGCCTCATCAGCAGCAGCTGCTTCAGGCGCTGTTGTTGTCGCTGCATCTGCTGCACCTGTTGCATCTGTTATTGCGTGCAGGGGCAAAACGTCGCGCTGCTGCCGCTCATGTTCACCGCCGTTATCGGCTGAGCCAGAATCGGCGCCCACGCCCGCGGACCACTCGGTACTAGTCTCGGGGAGGGTCGCCTCGGCGATGCCACTAATTCCGCCAACGCCCGGGCCCGAGCTCACATTGTCGTCGCCGCCGCCGCCGCTGGAGGACAGCATGTCCTGGTCCTGACCATCTTGGTCGCCTGTCACGACCGGCCCAACGCATCAGAAGTCTTGCCCGTGTCCAGGTCAAATGTGACCGACTTGCGCGCCTTTTTCTTGTTCTTCTTGGTCTTGTCTGCAGTAGAAACCGTAGGTGTCAATTCAACATGGTCAACTGGTGACTCAGGTACAGGAAGCGGGCTGTCGTCCCCGCCCATAGTGATAGAAGATGCAAGATCCCGCGAGGCGTCGTCTTGGTTGTTGCCCTGGCCCAGCTCCGAAACAGATCCCTTCTTGCCCTTTTTCTTTTGCTTCTTGCTCTGCTTCGTGGTCGCTGTGGAGCCCCAGTCTCCTTCGTTGGTCGTTTCATCCGTGGCAACGGGCACGTCTCCAAGTTGGGGCTCATCCGTAAAAGGAGGGTTCTGTTGAAGCGCATCCGCATCAGCCTGGCTCTCTGGCAGTGGCTGGCTACCAAAGGCGGCCAAAGGGGGGTCTTCAACAGGCGGCGCTTCGGTGGAAGCACTCGGCTCGGCCTCGGCTGGGGGGGCGGCCTCGCGGAGGGACGTCTTTTTCTTACCCTTGATCTTGCTCTTCTTTGGGGGTAGAAAAAATGTTTCGTCGGCCCATGGGTCCGGAGCAGGCGGCTTGGCCTCCGGTGTCGTCTCGTTCAGCATGGCCTGGGCATTGAAGTCGGCGTTGGCGGGTGTGGCAGCTCTGGACAGCGCTCTCGCTTCGTCCTCGGCGTCAAAGAAGATGTCGGAAGCGTCGTCGGGGGCAGGATCGTCGGCTTGTCGTAGCTCATTGCCGAGGCCTTGGGCGGCTTGAGGCGGAGATTTGATGGCAGAGTGGTCGTCGAGGGCATCTTCCCAAGCTAGCATCGCCTCGTCTTGCTTGTACGATGCGGAGAGGCCCGTGGGGGTGATTGAGCCGGTAGAAACATTGTCGTCTTGGATGGCGGGCTCGTCCGCGAGGATAGCCTCGGGAACGGGCTCGGTAAGGACTACCGGAGTGGCCTCTTCATCCAGAGAGGTTGCCTTCTTCCCCTTCTTCTTCTTCTTGCCCTTCTTCGAGCCAGCGTCTGGCTCGTCGAATGCGGTCGTGCTGTCAAGTGGAGTCTCAAGGCCAAGGTCGGGGGTCTCTCCTTCAATCTGCACCACGGGGGCTTCAACATCGGTTGCCGTCGCAGTGCTCTCCTGTGGCGTATCCGCTGTCCAGTCAGATTCCCAAGATTGGTTCTTCTTGGCCTTCTTCTTGTCCTTCTTGGACAGCTTCGCAGGCTCAGGGAGCTCCTCTATGGGCTCAGCAACAGACACCTCGGGCAAGGCAGCCGCAGTGATCGAATCCTCAACCACGGGTTCCTCGGCTTTGACAATAGAGTCGTCTGTTGCTTCCGCCCAGTCTAGATCTGCACCTTGGTTCTTCTTAGCCTTTTTCTTGTCCTTCTTTGACAGCTTCGCTGGAGCGGGGGCGCCTCCAATAGCCTCAACAGCAGGAACTTCGGGTACAACATCGGTGGCAATGGGTGCCTCGGCAGAAATCCCCTCCCGCAGGTGCTTTATCGGTGCTCTGTTCCCCTGCGTCGGCAGCCCAGTCATCATCCCAAGTGGGCGTTTTCTTGTCCTTCTTTTTGCTTTTCTTGGATGACTTGGTCTCTTCGAGGGCATCGCCGGCCAAGGGTGTAGATGGCTCAGTCAAGGCATCGCCAGTGAAAGGCTCACCAGCAACAGCATCTTGGGAAGAGGCTTGTGAGATATCCTCCACCGGCTCGGCAGGCAAGTCAGCGTCCAGCGATAAGCCCTTCTTGCCTTTCTTCTTGCTCTTCTTGGAAGACTTCGGTTCCTCGGGGGCGTCTTCTGGCGCCGGGGTGACTGGCTCCTCGGGTGTCTCGACAATTCCGGCGAGGGGCTCGTCAGCAAGGCCTTGGAAATCCTCTCCGGGGCTGCGGCTTGCGGCTCATCAACATCCCATGACGAAGACTGTGGTTTCTTGCCCTTCTTCTTGCTCTTCTTTGTGGGTTGGCTCCTCGAAGCTGTTCTCAGGAGGCGGAGCGAAAGTATCAGTGCAATCTCTGCAGTAGAAGTTGGTTCAGGCTGCATCTCGAGAACAGGCTGAGCCGTGGACTCAACAAATCCATCAAGGGGGGTCTCATCGGAAATGGCTTTGATGTCGTCTTCGATGGGCTGTTCTGGCTCAGGCTCCAAGATTTGCGCCTTTTTGCCCTTCTTCTTACCCTTCTTGGCGGATTTGGGCTCTTCAAATGTGTCGTCGGCAGTCTGAGGGGCCGCGTCGGGAACGATGTTGGCAGCAAGAGGATCAGCAGCGATGGATTCATCTGGGGTCGGCTCGGGAGCGTCATCAACCACTGCGGTTTCGACAGTGGACTCCGGTTCTAGTGTCTGCGCCTTCTTCGACTTTTTCTTGCTCTTCTTGGAGATTTTGGCTCTTCGACAAGTTCCTCGCCAACTGGAATATTGGCTTCAGTGATGGCGGCTTCCGGCACAACTTCGGCAACGGCAGCGTTTCCAAGAGGAGGTTCAGCAGGAATCGTCTCAGCGGCGGGGATCTCTGCTGCAGGGGCGTCGTCCAAGTCCAAGATGGTTCTCGAGCTCTCATCCACGACTTCTGTCGGTGCTTGGAGCTCAGAGTCCAGCGCTTGCGACTTCTTGCCCTTCTTCTTCTTCTTCTTGGCAGATTTGGGCTCGTCGAGGACATTTTCCGCGGCCGGAGCGGCAGCCTCAGCAATTGCGTCCGACACGTCGATCGCAACCACGTCTTCCACAGGAGGTTCAGAATTGGGCAGCTCTTCCGGAACAGCACGGGGGGTCTCCTCTACGGTCTCCAAAGGAGCCGCGCTTTCGGGTTCGGGTTCCGCGGATGCATTCTTCTTGCCCTTCTTCTTCGATTTCTTCGAGGCTTTAGTCTCACCGACGTCATCGGCAGATTGCGCGGGGACGATGTCCGGCTCAGGAACAGGAGCAGAAAGGACCTCCGGGACTGGAGTGGGAAGGTCCTCAGGCACAGGCGTGAACACATCTTCAGCGACCTCCTCCTTTGCTTTCTTGCCCTTCTTGCCCTTCTTCTTCTTTGACGGAGTCGAGGCCCACTCGTCCTGGCCTTCGGCCGTCTCGTCCTTCCTGTCGTCCTCTGTCGCAGGGGTTTCGCCCTTCTTGTCAGAAGAACCGAAGAGCCCCAGCGCGGCAAGTCCGCCGGCGGCAACGCCAGCAGCCGCGCTCCAGAGACCAGAACTCCTCTTCTTCTCGCCGTCCTGAACGTCCACCGCGGCATCTCGGCTCGGTGACTGGTCAGGAGATGTCCTCGACCAGTCCCGCTCAGCAATGTCGCGGAGAGACGGGGGCGTCGAGTGAAGGAGATACGAGCTCCGGTCTTTCGACATTGGCTCGACAGGGCCGGGTTCCTGTTCAGAATCTGGACCACTAGGGTTGCTGGGTAGAGGAGGGAGGTCGATGAGATCATCCTGAGAGACCATCGAGTCAAGAGATTTTGCTTGCGAAGAAGGGAGGGGCGCGTCATCGAGGGCCAGAGGATAGATGGCGTCGGCATCGAGCTCGCGCCTTGTAGCTTTGGGGGTTGATTCCTGGGATCCTGCGCGGTCCTTGGGCAAAGCTTCAGGGATATCAGTGTCAAGTCGCAGGCCATGCTCCTCGGGATACAACACGTCCCATGCGGCGAGATCGTCATCGGTTTGAGCGAACGGCGAGGGTGATTCGCGCGACGATGCCTCGCTGGGCGGCAGCTCGGGTAGGTCAATCTCCGGGTCCATCTGGCCCTGGCGCGCATGCTCAAGAAGATAGAGAGGCTTAATCTCACGGCTGTTGTCCCACGAAGTCGGCCTCCTGGGTGTAGTAGGCTCAGGCACGGGCGCCGCAATAGGAGAGGCCACGGGCGATGACTTGTGGTATGCCGGAGAAGACGGATTGGACCGCTGGCCCAGTCGCAGCTGAATAGGAATGGCGGTGCGGCTGGGGCTCTTGCTGGGCGTGTCCACGGCGCTTCTCCTGCGGGTGTGCGACGGCTTTTGACGCAACTTGTTGCGCTCCTCGGGAGGCGTCTCCGGTCGGCTGTCTGGCAGCGCAGGGAGCTCCTCATCTGACTCATCCTTCCTGGGCGAGCCGGGCTCGCTCGGCGGCAGAGGTAGCAGATCGCCGTACTGGGGATCGATGGCAGGCTTGATGGTCCGGTGAACAATCTCGGGATCCACATAGTCAACATCTCTAGATGCAGACCCGGTCGGTCGGTCTTTGGGTTCAACGTCCTCCGAAGAGAAAGCACCGGCGGCATTCCGGCGGGACGCGGCATAAGCCGCCGCGCCCGCCAAGCCGACACCCGCGCCAAGGGTGCCGGCATTATCTAAAAAAGACTGCTCGTCTTTACGACTGTCAGATTTCTTATTCACCTCTGTGCTGCTGCGGTTGAAGAGGCCGAAGAACCCGCTGCTCTTCTTCTCGGGCTCCTTGCGCTTGCCGTCTTTGCTGCTCCGTTTACGGCCGTCGGGCGCTGACGCGAATGAAGCAATCGACCTTGTATCATCGCCATCGTCATACCGGGTCCCGTTGGATCGCCGTTCGTGGCGATCGTACTTGGAGGCCGGGTCGGACACGACAGAGGTGACGTCGCGATCGTCTATGAATGAACGGCCGCCTCGATCCGGCGGGTCGCCCGGCTTCTCGTCCGCATAATCATCCGCGAGAGAATAGTCTACGCTCTTGCGCTTGTCCTTCTTGCTCCTGGTACCTCCGACTGAGACCTCAGAGACCGCCGCGGAGGGAGAGTCGTAGAGCGAGTCCTGCCTGGAAGATCGCTTGCTGCGTGTTCCACCGACGGAAACTTCGGACACGGCCCCCGACGGCGAGTCGTAGACCGTAGAGTCGCGCTTGTGGTACTTCTTGGTCCGAGTGCCACCGACAGAGACCTCAGAGACGGCCCCGGAAGGCGAGTCATATATGAGGGAATCCCGCTTCGACTTCTTCTTGGACTTCTTGGGCGTATCAAACTCGTCGAGCACGGGCTCGGCCTCGCGCGTAGTTGATTGCAAGTCCTCAAAGGCGTCAACAGGAACAGCCACGCGCTGGTCCTCCGTCTCGTCTGGCGTATCCGTAGACTTCTTTCCCTTCTTTTTCTTCTTCTTGGATGACGATGACGGCGCAGCCCACTCATCTTCAGCGGCCACGTCGGCAGGCTGGGCGGCCGGCAGGTCGGTCTCGAGAGCTGTTGAGGGGACGTCATCCTGGACAATGACAACTTCCTTGGCCAGAGCCTTCTCGCGCTTCTTCCGTTCTTTCTTGCTGAGCTTGGACAAGTCCTCCTGGTCTGCGACAGGTTCAGAGATGGATTCGGGAACGATGTCACGCGAAAGGTCATCAGCGGGTGCTGGCTCGGCTGCAGGAAGAGGCTCATCAAAGGTGTCCGTGCTCTGTCGTTTGGAAGCCTTGTCACGCTTCTTCTTGTCTTTCTTCGACAGCTTCGAGGGAGTATCCCAACCGTCAACAGCTGAAGCGGTCTCCTGGACAGGGGTCTCGGTGAGTTCACCCAGAACAATGCCAGATTCAGGGAGCGGGCCGCGGGGATCGCGTCAGCCACGACACCGAGATCAGACACGGTTCCGCGTAGGGCCTGTGATACAAGCCGCGCTCGTTAGAGCGGGAGGCTGTCCCGGCTGCGGTAGGTGGGGTCG